TGGCCAAGTTTCATGGCCATAAGATATATATTATAGAAACTAGGGCCATTTTAATATTGAAATTTGGATGTTTATTTTTGACATTTAAATCAAATATTTTCAACTGTCAAGATTTTGGCCTAAAAAATTTAAATATTGCAAAAATGTGCTTTTTAAATACTCTTGAATATAATATAATAAGTATTAAAAGCAACGGAACACTCATTTGATTTATCAGATTTATTACAGCTATTCAAAAGTCAAATTTATATGAGCCTGTGCCTGAAAATAGAGATTTTCGAATTAAGGGAAGCCTTACATAAACATGCATTTTTTTCAACCAATTTGAAGTTTTTGAAGTTTTTTAACCATACTTTTATAACTGTGTCCTTGGACCTAATACTCTTACCAATGGAAACACCGGGGAAAAACATGTTTTCCCTGGTGTTTCCATTGATTAGAGAGAACAATTGTTATAAATAAGACTTCCTGTAGTATGGATTATAATAGAATTTGGAATGTTCAGAATAACACAGTTCTTGATCAAACTAAATATGCAGGTGTTTATGCATCAAACCACAACTCCTTTTAAAGCAATAAGTATAGTTCAAAGAATCTTCATTTCTTACCTAAAACTGCTAACTACTTTAATCAGCAATATTTTTGTGTTTCCAGCATCTAATAGATTTGCTATTCCCTCAAGATTGGTGTTCTATTGTGTATATGGATTGAAGAAAAAACAACTATAATACTTCAACTTACTGTAGTAATAAACATATAAATATAAACTCTAACTACACTAGTCACATTCCTTGTAAATATTTCTACATGCACATTTAAATATTCACATTCTGGAGTCATGTTTACACTTCTGTGTTTTCTGTTACGATAGTGTATCTAGATGGCACCAAAATCTATTTTTGTTCTATTCAAACTTTAACTAATTAGGTACTAAAGTCATCACTTGTAGGGGCCTCGGTGGTTGAATGGTTTAAGTAGTTCATCTACTGTATCACTAGCCTGTAAACGCTGAGGTTGTGAGTTCGAGTCCTGCATGTGAGTTTGATTCCAATCTTAATTGACTAGGATTGTCAGTTTTCCTACCGAAGGTCGATGGTTCTTTCTGGGCACTCCGGCTTCCTCAACCAATAAAAACTGGCCGCCGCGAAATAGCCAACAGTGCTGAAAGTGGCCTTAAACACCAATCAATCATCACCTTGTGGTTATTAGAACAAATTAACAAATTAAAACTCTGTTTGATATTTTTTCTGCAGCAATTGAGAAAATACAATACATAAAGAGTATAAACTAGGTAACAATACCTTAACAGATTTTCTACAGAATGACAATCTTTTTACTCTGTGTATGTAAAATTTTATATTCCAACACAACAACATTGTTCATAATATAGGACATCTATATAATTTTGGCAAAGGAAGACAACAAAAGCAATATAATAATAACAAATAATGCCTTTAGAAATCATTATATCACAGTATATCAATAAAATGCATTTAATGGTTGGGTTGCACAGAATTTCTCTTTGACAATGGAGAATGGTCTATAATGAACATTTGAATAAATGGAAGTACAAAAAAAAAAAATGGGAAAAAATCTTTCAGCATCTCCATAATGGAGGAACACCTTCAATAGGTGTGCAAACTTTCTGTTTTAGTTAAAATAAAATATCAACACAGGAATATGTCCCTCATACTTCCTGCAAATTGAAAAAAAAAAATGTTTTAGTCAGTGTATATCAGGAATATATTGTCTGACATAACTGCTTATTTTGATAAAATTGGAAAACAAATGAGGTAACTTTTTAACCAAAATAAAATTATAACTGTCTAAATAAAGAATAAACAGTAAACCAATGATTTAATTTTGAGAGTATAATTAAAAATACAATATAAAACATCCAGAGTATGTCAAACTTTGAACTTCTGCAATATGAATACATTATTAAACTTTATTAAAAATTGCTACACATGTACAAAGTTTTTTGGATAGGGCTAATTACGAAAAAAGTATCTGAAAGATTAAGTTGGTTTACAGTAAATAATTATTCATACCATATCAGCTTTAAATTCTGAACTACATTAATAGTTCCTCATTAAAATAAAAGAAGAATGTGTCAGGAAGACACGAATGCCCCTGCTCAAGCTTTGTAATTTTCCAAGTTAAAAAGGGGCATAACTCTAGAATGGTAAATGACTCACTGACCAAATTCGAACTCTGTCTGCATGTTTTGGTTCTTAGCATTGTGTATGAGTTTCATAAAATTTGGATAAAAAAACCTTGTTAGAGTGCAAAAACAAAAATGGGATGGAGTGAAGGACCAAAAGATGGAAAGACAGACAGAAGGATGGACGGTCAAGGTCCATTGCCTAAGGCAGGGGCATAAAAATCTTGCATTTTGATTTACAATAATTCCTGACTAAAAATACAGAAAAAAAAATCATGACCAAGCAAAAGGAGTGATATGGAATAGCTGTTGTTACAATGTGGGGGTTACAAATGTCATATCATGTGACATTTTTCTATGCATCCACCTAGTTTTTAACACAGGCAAATTAAGCTAATGCAATGGTTTAAACAGATTTCCACTAAAGACATTTGACCACAGTTTTCTATTTTGACCCCCACACCCTGTTGAAAACTAACCTTTAGTTAAAATCACCCATAAGTTGATGGTTTCTTGCAGACAACATTGTATTGATTTCAAAACTGCATATATTTCTTAAGTTATCACATGACTTTTGTGTGTAAAATGAAATCGAACACAAAAAAAAAGGCCATCTCAGAACTAAAGTTTTGTACTATTACACAATCACTACTTTCTACAATAATATAAAATTACAAAAGTCTGTTTTAAAAATGTATCCTAAACAGTAATTTGAGCAGTAGCTGTTAACCTTACAAAGAGAATTCTTGTATAATCAACATCAAATTACATTCTTTTCAAATGGATTTCAAAGTTTACATAAAACAAATGTAAATAAATATAAAATACAGCACAAATATATATATAACTTGTAAAATGTTACAATATAATGATTAAAAAAATAAGGACGGAATGACTTTGTGTGAATATTATCAAAATAATCTACAGAGGTTTAAAAGTATTTTGGCAAAATATTTTGGCTTAGATTTAATATTGACTTAATAAAATAATCTTTAAATATATATACTCTCTTTAAATGGTATTTTTGTTGAGAAATAGCTAATTCAATGTAATTCTACCACTTTAATAGGTTAATCATTAGTTTATATTATAGTGACATGTTATTTTTTCATCATTCTAGAAAAGATTACAATATTTCAGACAATTTCTCAACTTTAAGCTGAAAGAACTAGACCAAAATTTGTCATATAAAACATATAGCAACACAAACAGTACTAGTGCAAAAGATAATTTCTTTATTTACATGCAACTCCTGGAAAATGTATGGTCTTTGGTGAAGGGGGGGGGTCGGAGGGGTCCTGATCCCGAAATCCCTGGCTTAAAAACATGAAATCCCAAGGTCCCGAATTTAAAGAAATTTAAATCCTGACATCCCGAAATTCTAAAAAAGAATTCCCGGATCCCGAAAGGATCAATCCCGAAATCCCGAGCTTAAAAACACCTGATACCGGAGTCCCGATAAAGGTCCGACTCCCCCCCTCTTTGGTCCATTTAAATTCTTCTACTGAATATTATTACCAAAAAAATCCCCCAAGTGTATATTTCATCAAGAGGTACTACTAAAAAAATCCCCCAAGTGTATATTTCATCAAGAGGTACTACTAAAAAAAAAGTTCACAGAGATTCAAGATCTGTTTCAAATTTGGAGCTTTATGCAATTGATAACTCAAAATACTATCTAGTAATCAAACCAAAATAAGATCTCTAATGGAAAAAAAAATTCTGCATCAGAACATAGTCATTATTCTTCCTTAAATACAACTGATTTACAGGGTAACATTTGTTTCTTTATGGGATATTTATGAGCAATGAAAACACTCATGTGTTCTTCATGAGCAAAAAGTGATGAACAAGGCCATGTAAAATAAATTTTCTGGTTCTCAGATACTAACATGTAAATAATTGATGAGGTAGGTATTCGTTTTTGGATTTATTTCGATGACATCAAGCATTGTTTTGACACACTGTATACATTGCTGTTTAAAAAATAACAGATGTCAAGGGGGCAGTGTAAAACATTTGAATCTAAGCACATCAAATACCATGGCCAAAATGAAAAAGATGAAAAGGCAAACAGTTGCCCACATAACATTACACAGAAAATTAAAGGTTAAACACCACTTGACAAACCTACCAAAAACTGTGGGTTAAATTTTTTTTATTATAATAGATAAATAATTTGATGAATATGTTTCTTTTTTTATCTCAACAATGACCACTGTGCAAGATCACTTAGGGTAGTCAAGGTTGTAAGAAACCTCAGCAAAAGTCCACCAATGAGGTACAAATGTATGTGACATGACCTTTCGTCAAACTGTTCAACATATTCATATGGAGCCACACACCAATGTGCTATTCTAGATTCTAGAAATAAAATTATCTCAAACAGAAATCATATTATTACTGAATGAATTCAGTTGTTCTTTTATTGGTATATTTTTTGGTGGTTTTGTAATGGAAATTAAGGAATATGTAATACAACATTTAATTAATGACTCAAAATCTCTACACCCACTTGTCAACATGATCAAAACCAAAAGCAATGGAACAGTGCTTATATTGCTTAACTTCCTCTCAAAGTCACAGTGAGGTCTTCAACAAGCAAAAGGATCAAAACCTTAACTGCAAGTTGACTCCTCCTTTTCATTGCTAGACAGGAAAATTATACAGGGAGATCAATTTGTTTCTAAATACAATGTATCTATTTCTATGTAAAATAAATCGGGAATGTGTCCATGGGACACAGATGATGACCCCGCTTGCATATAATGTTTTAAAGGGATATAACTCAAGAATTGTAAAAGTGATGCTACCCAATTTGTACTTGATCTGTGTTTTGTGGTTATAAAAATTGTGTATAAGTTTCATAATATTTGGTTAAGGCAAACTAAAGTTAAAGAACGGAAACAGAAAATTCAGCAATTTTTCCATTTATAAAGGGGCATAACTCTAGAACGATAAAAGTGATGCAACCAAAATTCAAACTTAATCTGTGTTTTGTGGTAATAAGCATTGTGTATAAGTTTCATACCATTTGGTTGAGGCAAATTAAAGTTAGAGAACAGAAACGAAAAAATTCAGCAATTTTTTCATTTGTAAAGGGGCATAACTCTAAAACGGTTAAAGTGATGCCACCAAAATTCAAACTTGATCTGTGTTTTGTGGTTATAAGCATTGTGTATAAGTTTCATAACATTTGGTTGAGGCAAATTAAAGTTAGAGAACGGAAACTAAATTTGGGACGTACATACGTACGTACAGACAGACAAGGGTAAAACTTAATGCCCCCTTCCGCTACTGCGGGGGCATACAAATAACATAGAATTGATATTTTATCCTTTTTTCAGGGCCTCTTCTGATTACATTGCTCTCATTGTATTTATAGATCTTTGGGTTTACATTCTTCACTCTGAACCTACCTGATAAATATTGTTTTAAAAAGCTATGCAAACACCACAAGGTTGGTATATTTGAGTTAGATATCTCATTAACCTCTATTCCTTGCAATGCTTGTCTAGCCAAAGAATCTATTTGACATCTTTCTCTATTAGTTACTATATTATACACTGTATTAATTATAATACATGTAGTATTGACTTATAAAGAGTATAGGGGAATGACGAACTCCATGATTTGTATTTCTCAGACAATCATTAATTACATTATCAAACACTCTCTTTTATATTTTCAATTATCCTTCTTTTTTGGAAATACACTTCTTGATTTGCAGTGGTACTTTGACAGCTATCAAAATCTATAGCCTGTAGATAAACATTTCTACTGTATATTGAAACACATGTATCTATCAAGAAGCTAAAGTGACATTGCTGACATTCATGAATATAAAGACTGTGTCAAAGTCAGATGATTAAGTCTTTCAGATTGACAAATGATCATCACAATTTTGTATGTTCATTATTGTTGAATGGGTTTTATCTTTCTGTATATCTTGAAGTCTTCCAAAACCATCACAACCCTAATTCAGAGAACTGCTATGCACCGATCATTAGTGCTATCTGTATCCATATGATTATCCAGGGAAAGATGTATTACCCTACTGAAAACTGTCATAGAAATAAATTTAATTTAAACTATGTTTGCTGAATTCACAGGAATTTCTTTTGTACAATTAGATGTTCAAGCATTACACACTAAGTTTACTGTTAGAGTTATTGCTCTTTTACCAATTCAAAGGCAGTAAAATTAAACTTGAATTTTATACACATTCTATCTACTTTTGTTCATTGATAAATATAAGTCAGCAGTCGATTTTTTTCAAAGGAAGCATTATCTGAGAACCAGAATATTTACTTTAAATAGCCCAACACAAATATAATATATCATATTTTAGAAAACCAATTATCTCCCCTTCCTTTTGGTGACTTTGGTTTAAAGACTGGGTCAATGGCTGTTTGTACTATAGATCTGGCCAAATCTGGAAGTAATTTTCTGAAATAAAAAGCATACTCTGCACATTTCAGTCTTCTTATTTTTTTTTAGTGATAAAAAACATGAGTGTTAGATCCATTTTTTTTTATTTTGAGTGGTAGATTTTAATAAGTTCTTCTTTCTACAAAGCTACTGGTAACTGTAATGAAACTTATTCTATCTTTGTTGTTAATCTTTACTCTGTGTGGGAGCTATAATTCAATAGAGAGTAACATGTACAACAGTGTATACTAGCTTAAATACAACAGAAATTTTTTTTTAAATGTGTAATATTATTTGGTCCTTTTTCTTCTTTTTGTTTGAACTTTTTAAAGTGATTTAGGATTTCTTCCAATAGATTAACATGATTCTTATAGAGACTATCTTAAACTTGTTACAAGGTCAGTGAGTTCTCAAATTATCAAACAGCTTGTAATGTGATGAGAATAAGCATTTTTTGCTGCTCATTTAAGGAAAAGTCAAATTTGGGACCAAATTAGTCCTGAAATTAATACTGCTTCAACAGTTTTGTTAAAATTGAATATTGAATTTATGTACTTCAATAATACATTGCAATCTTAGATGAAACACTTGCTACTCATAGATAATAGTCATGAATAGGTAGTAAATTAAGTAGAATAGGTGAATTTGCCAACAACAATGACTATAAGACACAGGGATGCCAAGAAATAATATATAGCACAACTATTACCCAAACAGATCTTCACACAGGAAGAATATTTTGGGTTTATCTACTTAATGACGCAAATTTTTTGGAAGACACTTGTACTCTACACTAAGTTAGCAGAAATGTTCCTGAAATAAGCCTTTTTGTTTTTGCTAAAACAGAGTATAACCCAAACATGAATTTGCTTCATAACCTTAAAGTCCAATTAAAAAGTCATTTTGTATGACCTTACATTTACATTTTTGTAAATGTCCTACAAAACAGGTTGGTATTGTCATTTCACTTATTCATTTTAGGTCAATAAGAAGGGCCAAAAATGTCCTGAAATGTAACTTCTCTTTAAAAAGTTTTTTGTCTAGTTAACATCTATCTCATAATCTATATCTCCTTTAAAAAGTTTTTTGTCTAGTTAACATCTATCTCATAATCTATATCATTCAAATGTTTAAATAAGCCTCTTATAATGTTGTTTTGGAAGGCATCAGAGAGCATGCTCATATGTTACATATGAAAATAAATATTGAATCATAAAAATGAAGTAAAAATCAGGTGAATCTTGCCTTACTGACATACACACCTTATAATCATTCCATGACCAAATAAAGTTGACCTTTTACTTATTCAATATCATAATTGTGAAACTGACCTAATTAAATAAAAGAACAGAGTTCCAATGTCCTCCGCGTTGCACATATTTTATCTATCCAGTGGCAATAACTAAAAAAAAAAACACTTTTTTTTTTGTTCTTTAAAATAATTTATAAATAAAAAGCGTGAATGGGGGACATAAAAGGTTTTTTAAGTACAAGTTTTATAAAAATCTGGCAAGAATTGTACCAGTGAGAGCACTAACAAGGCCATTTTCCATAAATTTAATATTTCCAAGGGTCATAACTCTTTAAAAAAAAGTCGAACGTCCACCATTAGAGAACTTGTCCGAGATATTGCTGATATAAACCTATTGCATAAGTTTTATACAAATCTGGCAAGAATTGTAACCGTGACAGTGCTAACGAGGCCATTTTCCATAAATTTAATATTTCAAAGGGACATAACTCTTTTTAAAAAAAAAAGATCAGCCACCATTATAAAACTTGTCTGTGATATTGCTGATATTAACCTATAGTATAAGTTTTATAAAAATCTGTCAAGAATTGTACCCGTGAGAGCGCTAAGGAGGCCATTTTTCATAAATTTAATATTTCCAAGGGGCATTTTTCTTTTAAAAAAAAGTCGATCGGCCACCATTATATAACTTGTCCGAGATATTGCTGATATTAACCTATAGCATAAGTTTTATAAAAATCTGGCAAGAATTGTACCTGTGAGAGCGCTAACAAGACGGGACAGATGCCCAGTATTTCCATGTCCCCTGTTACGCGTGGTACAAAAGTTGATGAGCAATGAACCATTTAAATTATTTCAAAGTTAAGTGAAACCTATCAGAGGGGCACGAACAACTTGCAATTATTTAACAAGATCAATATAGCTTATTATTACTTATATAATCACAAAAACTTAATGTTGATTAACAAGCATTCTGAGAGTATTGCATGGCAATACATAGTCCCCTACCGGTTAAAAATTTATTGTACTGGAACAAAATGCTAACTTGATCTATAACTTGTCATGCAGTAAACTATATAACAAATATCAAGTCAATTTTAAGCATGATGAAAAAAAGTGTGAAAAACTGATTATTTAAGTGAATTTTCTAAATCCAAGGACCATAACTCTGCACAAAATCATCAGAGCAGAAAAAAATTTAAACTTGATCTGTAACTTATCATAATAAAACTATATATCAATTATCAAATTAATATCTTCAAGCATGACGAAAAAAAGTGAGGAGAACTGGTTATTTGAGTGAATTTTCTAAGTCCAAGGACCATAACTCTTCACAAAATCATCAGATTGGAACAAAATTCAAACTTGATCAGTAACTTTTCATGATAAAACAATAAACCAAATATCAAATCAATATCTTCAAGCATGAAGAAATAAAGTGTCGAAAACTGATTTGCTTGACTGACGGATGGACAGACAGACAGACCAGCTGAGACAGACGGAGTGCTAACCTAAAGTCCCCTTCGACTTCATCGGTAGGGGACTAATGAACCATAAAAGACAAACAGGTTCACTTTTCAGAGATACAAGCCTGATAGATAGATACACCTTACAATCATTTCATACACCACATAAAAAAAATGATATAGTTGACCTATTGCTTAGAGTATCCGAGAAACCAAGAAAACTTAACATTGATCACTTATCTATGAAATGAGGTCAAGGTCATGTGAACCCTGTCTGACTGGTCATATTTGTATTTTGTTCATTTTTTTAACATAGTTCAAGCCATTAGTTTTCTCATTTGAATTGTTTTACATTTGTCATTTTATAGCTGACTATGTGGTATGGGTTTTGCTCATTGTTGAAGGCCGTACAGTGACCCATAGATGTAAACTTCTATGTCATTTACTCTGGTAGAGTTGTCTCATTGGCAATTATACCACATCTTCTTATTCTTATATGTATACCATGCAATGATTCTATGTACGAAATATAATTGTCCTATTACTAATAATAACTGAAAAAAATTACGTGAAAAAAAACCATGCATTTTTTTTAAGCTGTTGTTGAACTGTGAAAATAAGGTCAAGGACAACGGAAACAAAAAAATTCAGAACATAAGGCATATGTTTACAAGATATGAATTATCCATGCCTTCTATCTTCTAAAACAAAAAACTTTATACAAATAGTTTACACTATTGCTGCCAGATAAGCATCCCTATGTCTCACATTTTGTGACATTTGCTGCAGGCTAGACAAAAATGAAATAACTAACAAATGCTAGTTATTCAGGTGTCACTGCATTTACATGTACTTTCAAATAGAATAGATAATACATAATCAAAATTTATCATGAACTTACTGTGCACAAGCTGGTGCTCCATTTATTTCAATCAAATGAACCTGAAGCTGACTATCCAATAAAAAGTCAAAGCCAAACAGCTGGAAACTACCATAACCCAACATGTTTGTGCTAATTCTCTGAAAGAAGATAAACCTTTACATCAAGAGCACATACCAATTTAACTAGATTTTATCAATTGGGATATACATCAATTTGACAGCTACCAAGCAACACAAAAAAAAAGATATCTAGAGTTCAATGTATTATATTCAACAATAGACAGGTATGTCAAGATATAAATCACCAAAAGTCTAGAAAGGTATGAAAAAAATTAAACAAATACTATCAAAAATCTTTTTCAACACAAAATGACAAAAAAACACATTTAGATATGACAAAAGAAGTAAGATCTACTATATACCATACTAACTTACATCTTTTATCATCAGTAGCACCTTTTTTATTATTTCTTTGATTTGTGGAACAATAGTGTTGTCCATTGTCATACGTGTCTTTTTCTTTAGGTAACTGTATAAAAATTATTTAAATACATATATATATATATAACATTGCAAAAATATTTAATAGAGTTACTGGAAGTGGAAGCTGCTTGGTCTGTCTTCAACTGATTAATGGTTATGGTATTGAAGTATTAACAGACAATTGTATCTATTTTTTTTTAAATTGAGTTGAACATAAAATATACAAATGATAACCCTACAAAAAATGTAAAGAGATGGTAGGACGCCACATGATTTTTTTCCCGTGGGTATTAGGAATGGAAGCAAATACAATTCTGTTACGAATGAAAATAAAATTTATGGGAGGTAAGGTATATAAAATGTGTTGTCAAACCCCCTATATTTTTTCCTGGAACATTACTTTGTATTTACCTGTTGAATTCATCAAAAAATAGTTCATTTCCAGTTTCATATTCACCAAAGTTTGCTGATAATTCTTTCTGTAAGCAGTGATTTGTTAGATGGCTTGTGACATCATTATAATTCTCGGGTTTATAACTCTCTGATGCTGTGCGAAGAACTCCTTCTTTGAAGTAATACACATTGTAATTGTTATCCAGCAATACCCAACATCTATAATCAAACGAATATTTAAAGTGCTAATACTTTGATTAAACTTTCACTGTTCACATTTGACATGAAACAACAGAAGAAAATGCTGTTAGAAATTATGTTTGTCAGAGACTTTTTAAAACAATCATATCAATTTCATTTTCAAATATTTTGTTGATATATGTAGTAAGAATCATAGGGAATTGGAAAACAAGCAAAGTATATATATATATACATCCTCTCCCATAACAAGATAGAACATATAGACAAAATATCATATGTACAAATGATTTATATAAGTCAATCCACCAATACTGAATTTAGGTGAACTTATAGATATTGTAATTATTGAAGACTCCAAATTTAAGCCTACATAATTGAAAAATCAATTGTTGGATAGTAAAAAAAATTGAATACATCAATGGTAGAGTGAGTAATTAATATAGTATTTCAATATTATATACAAATGTATATCCTTTTTAATATCAAAAACATTTCTCAATTTTGAAAATCTTTTTTTTTACTAAACTCTTCAAAGTTCATGATATTAGTTTATGTTTTATTTACAAATCTTGATTAAAAATAAAAACTTAACAATATCTTTACTTTCAATGAAAAAAAAACATAATGGCAATATAAAATGTGATGACTTTCTTTCAACTTTTGTAATATAATTAATCTATATGAAATTACTATGTACACAATGTAAGATTGTTTTCAATTATTGATTGATTAGAAATGAAGCCACAAATATAAAGTAATTAGTTTTTAATGTAATCACTCAAAATACTGATTGCAGATAAATAAGGCTTTTGATGATACAATTTTGGAAACCCTACAACTCCTAAATCCAAGCTCCAGAGCAAAATGAGTAAATTAAAAAACTATATATATCTATCAAGATTTTTTATTGTCAGAAATATTCATAAAAGATTGAAATTTTGTCAAAAATGGAGGCAGCATACATAACCTGTGCTAAACAACTGAAAACTTTATTGTTACAGCATGACAAAGCTGTAACACAGGTTTTTCTTTTTGGTAAGTTTACATTTTAAATTGTAAATGGTATTACTTCACTGCCAACAAATTTCAGTATATAATTGCTTAGTATGTTATATGTGAAGTAATTCCTGTTATCTTTTTTATATGTCCTCAAACTGTTTGGGATGATACAAAAATTGTACCAGTTGATGATGTAAAGAGTATTTTCTGTCTCATATATCTTATTTGGTGATCAAATCCTTAATTTAATCATAATTATTTAGCTATTATCTGTTTTTTAATAATTCTGAAAAATGTGAAAAGATAAGGAATAACTATATAGAATTTATCAAAATGATGTTGGAAAATTATTTTAAAAGTCATGCAAGACATCTATTTTTCGTCTCTTTTATAAATCTATTAAAATTCAATTACCAATAATGAAATTGTTTTTTTTATTTTAAAGTTCAAGCCAATGTTTTATTATTAAATTTTAAATAATTAAATTTTGCAAAAAAAAGCAAATAGGTGAAGGCAATAAAACAAGACATACAGAAAAATCCTACAAATAAAAGTTATAAAAATTATGCATAATAAAACAAGTAAATAAATAAAGAAATTTAAAATTCAATTTAATCTTTAAATAAGTATTAAAAAGAAAAACCTTTAATTTTTTTCCCCAATAATAATCGGTTTGTGTGTTTTTGTTTTAATATTGCAATTTTTTTTTGGATGTACATGTACACTGTAAATTACATTCATACTTAATATATCTGATTTTTTCTTCTGTAAGAGTGCAAATTGCAGAAACACATTAAACTAACTTTATTCCTAATACTAATTACAGATATGAAGATATTGGCTCTAGAGAAGAAGATTTTCACATCAATCTTAAGTGGTAATGACATTATGAAGACAAGTCATGAAAGAAGAAAGTCTATTATTCTTGGTATAAGGATCATGTTTGACAAATACAAGCAACACAAATGGGAAAAAATTCAAGAGGTATCTGCCAATATCCTTCAGATAATGCAACAAGATGATGAAGATGACCAAACAGAGCCATGGCAAACAACATCTACACAAGAAAATGACAATACAATTACCATTGAAACAGATATGTTTTGTTCAAATTATCGCTCGTTTTAGATTATTGTCTTACATGATGTCGTTATTTTAGTGCTGTATGTGAAAAGAATGTGCTTTGACCTTTTTAAATTATAACAATAAAAAAATTAATCTGAATGGTGTTTTGTTTGTTTTATTGATAACTAGATTAATCTTTCAGTTATATAATATTAAATACTTTATATATGAATGTGATTATTATCATCTAAATACAGTCAAACCTGTATATAATAGATACAAAAGGAAAGAGAAATATCTGTCTTTTTTAGCAGGTGCCCTTTATATCCATATATGAGATGTGGTATGATTGCAAATGAGACAAATATCCATCAGAGTTCCAAAGACAGAAACAAAAGCAATTATAGGTCACCATACAATTATCAACAATGAGAAAAACCCATACCGTATAGTCAACTATAAAAGACCTCAACATAAAAAATGTTAAACCGTTCATACAAGAATATTTATTTTATAAAACTGATTGTTTAGGGTAGGGTACAAGTATATATTAATTTGAACAAAATTTATTATTAGTTACTTTTATTTAGAGGACAGGACAGATATTTCTTATCATCATAAAAATTCAAAATTCTGCTCACCAAGTGTAGTATTCACATTAAGGCTAAATACACGTATAAATACATTTATCTTTCATTAAAAGCATGGCAGTGACTTGAATGTTAGAGTTTGCAATTTGTTTCATCATATCAAACTGTTCCACTGGTTAGAAGTTTTACCAAACTGCTGTAGAATAATCATAGTCAAGTCATCAATGTTAATATGTAGTGCAAAATGAAAAAAAGCATACTTACAATCCTAAATGTGATTTTTAAATGAATAGAGAAGCTTACAAAAAGCCACAGTAAATAATAAAATTAGAATGACTATTAGGAATGTACTGACATACATGTACAAGAAGAAGCTAAATTCAATAGAACAATGATAATGTTACCTAATATCGAACTTCCTGTCTCCATCCAGCAGAAATGGATTTAGTATGTATTTTTGGACTATAAAGCCTTGTGCCTGTGTATCTATAAATGCAATCAGTTCATCAACATTTTGTGAGATTCTTATACCTTCACCTGAAATAAATATATTCACATTAAGGCCACACACATTTTAATATGAAAAGTATATTTTAATAAAATACAGTTTTGCTTTTTCTTTTAACAAGGTGTCTGGGAGATCCAAAAAGCACTTACACTTTACAAGTCATTACTGTCAAGCTGCACACCAGATATGAAATCATTGTTTAGGAGTACATGTAAAGGAAAAATATGACAATAATATTCACTTAATTCCACATATTGAAAAAATCTGGATCAGGAAGCTGGTGTGACAGGTCCAAAAAGCACTTACACATTACAAGTCATCACAGTCAAGGTACAGACAAGTAATGAAGTTATTCTGTTCAGTAGTACCTGAAAAATTTTGCAGGAAATATTTGTTGCAGACAGACAAGGGGATTGCAATACATCCCCATTTCTAGAATGGAGGTATAATAATTTAAAACTATAATATGAACACAAAAAAAAACCCAATGATTGACTTTTCATGGATAATCAAATACCATATTTCCTGAGAAGACAATAAAGAAAATTAGATGTTTTGTTTTTATTTCATTCATATTTTCTTTAAATATTGTTACCTTTTGCTCCTGCAGCAGATTTAGCTATCCAAACAATTCTTTTCCTTTCTTGTTGTACCAATGCTGCATCAGTCTCTACTAGTTCCTGTCTATCATCAGGTCTTGCTACCTTTCTCATTGCTGCTACAGAAGCCTCTCCCATCTTTGTAGCATTCTCGGATATTTTCTTTGGACATATAATAAATGACATTGGAAGCCATTTTGGAAACATACCTGGTCGTCTTTTCAGTTCTTCCTTAAATACCCTTAAATAGTGACATTTTTTTCTAATACAATTGTTTTCTCCATTTAACTACTGGAGTTGATGATTAAAGTTATGACAGCATAAGTATTAAACTAAGGAAGGTACAACATCAACAAACAAATGTTTCTTAATTTTGTTCACGCTGATGTAAAAGAAAATAAACTGCTTCGCTGAGCGCAGCTAGATACGCCCGCTGAGGTCCAACCCTGAACAGTTGGGGCAAAAATGGACACAATATTCAAGCTTGATACAGGTCTGAATTTGTAATTAAATATTTGATATATTATAGGTTTCTGAATAAATGTAGTCAAAGAACTTGAAATTGGTTATATGAAAAATTTCTTGCTGTTGTGCAATACACTGTGCTGTTGCGCAATACTTAGTAAATCTATTGTCAGACTATAAACAAATCAAATCTTATAACTCGCAAAAGTAAAATAAAAAATTTATAAAAATCAAAAGTAAGCTTACAAAAATAGATATAAACAATTTATTAAAGTTTCATAAAACTAGAGGCTCTAAAGAGCCTGTGTCGCTCACCTTGGTCTATGTGCATATTAAACAAAGGACACAGATGGATTCATGACAAAATTGTGTTTTGGTGATGGTAATGTGTTTGTAGATCTTACTTTACTGAACATTCTTGCTGCTTACATTTATCTCTATCTATAATGAACTTGGCCCAGTAGTCACAGTGGAAAATATTTTGTAAAAATTTACAAAAATTTACAAAATTTATGAAAATTGTAAAAAATTGACTATAAAGGGCAATAACTCCTTAAGGGGTCAATTGACAATTTTGGTCATGTTTGACTTATTTGTAGATCTTACTTTGCTGTACATTATTGCTGTTTACAGTTTATCTCTATCTATAATAATATTCAAGATAATAACCAAAAGCTGCAAAATTTTCTTAAAATTACCAATTCAGGGGCAGCAACCCAACAACGTGTTGCCTGATTGGGCTGAAAATTTCAGGGCAGATAGATCTTGACCTAATGAACAATTTTATCCCGTCAGATTTGCTCTAAATGCTTTGGTTTCAGAGATATGAGCCAAAAACTGCATTTTACCCCATGTCCTTTTTTTTAGCCATGTCTGCCATCTTGTTTCACGGGCGGGGTCATCGGACACATTTTTTAAACTAGATACCCTAATGATGATTGTGGACAAGTTTGGTTAAATTTGTCTCAGTAGTTTCGGAGAAGATTTTTGTAAAAGATTACAAAATTTTATGAAAAATGGTTAAAAATTGACTATAAAGGGCAATAACTCCTTAAGGGGTCAACTGACCATTTTGGTCAAGTTGACTTATTTGTAGATCTTACTTTGCTGGACATTATTGCTGTTTACAGTTTATCTCTATCTATAATAATATTCAAGATAATAACCAATAAAATGCTCCGCAGGGCGCAGCTTGATACGACCGCAGAGGTCGAACCCTGAACAGTTGGGGCAAGTATGATCACAACATTCAAGCTTGATACAGCTTTGCATTTGGATTGTGATTAAATATTTGACACAGCATAGGTTTCTGACACAGAATGAATGTGGTCTAAGAACTTAAAAATTTTAAATTAGACATTTACCTATTATGGTCCAATATCCAAAATCTAAATACATGGTTAGATTCAGCATATCAAAGAACCCCAAGAATTCAATTTTTGATGAAATCAAACAAAGTTTAATTTTGGACCCTTTTGACCTCAATGTGGACAAAGTTGATAACGGGGCCCAAAAATCAAAAATCTAAATACATGGTTAGATTCAGCATATCAAAGAACCCCTATATATTCAATTTTTGTTGAAATCAAACAAAGTTTAATTTTGGACCCCGATTTGGACCAACTTCAAAACTGGGCCCATAATCAAAAATCTAAATACATGTTTAGATTCAGCATATCAAAGAACCCTAAGAATTCAATTTTTGTTAAAATCAAACTAAGTTTAATTTTGGACCCTTTGGACCTTAATGTAGACCAATTTGAAAACGGAACCAAAAATTAAGAATCTAAATACACGGTTAGATTCGGCATATCAAAGAACCCCAATAATTCAAGTTTTGATGAAATCAAACAAAGTTTAATTTTGGACCCTTTGGACCTCAATGTGGACCAATTTAAAAACGGGGCCCAAAATCCAAAAACTAAATACACGGTTAGATTCAGCATATTAAAGAACCCCAAGAATTCAAGAATAAAACCCCATTGAAATTGGTCAAGAAATAAGCAATTTATACGAAGTATCTTCTTTTGCACAATACTGTGCAATTAAATATTTCTTGCTATTGCGCAATACTGTACAATTGACAATTTCTTGCTATTGCGCAATATTGTGCTATTGGATATTTCTTGCTATTGCACAATACTGTGCAATTGAAGATTTCTTGCTATTGCGCAATACTGTGCAATTGAAGATTTCTTGCTATTGTGCAATACTGTGCAATTGAAAATTTCTTGCTATTGCACAATACTTATTATATAATAATTTACACATCCTGTTTGGTGTGTATCTCCTTCCATATCATTATTATTTGCTTTTAAATATAAATCAGAAATAACCAACTAAAAATGGAAAATTTTAAAAGAATAAAAAAGGAAAAAAAAAAAATCCCCCCCCCCCCCAATTTTTTGAACCCCCTTATGATTCATCACCCCCAAACTCAATCCCAGCCTTCCCTTTGTGGTATGGTACCTTGCAGTACAATTTCAGAGAGATCCATACACTTGAACACAAGTTATTGCCTGGAAACTAGAAAAATGCTTATTTTTGGCCCCTTTTTTGGCCCCCAATTCCTAAATGTTTCGGCAATTACCCCCAAACTCAAACCCAGCTTTCCCTTTGTGATATGGAACCTTGTAGTACAATTTCAGAAAGATCCATACACTTACACACAAGTTATTGTCATGAAACTAGAAAAATGCTTGTTTTTTGCCCCTTTTTTGGCCCCTAATTCCTAAAATATTGAGGCAATTACAACCATCATCAATCCCAGCCTTCCCTTTGTGGTATGGTACCTTGCAGTACAATTTCAAAGAGATCCATACACTTGAACACAAGTTATTGTCTGGAAACTAGAGAAATGCTTATTTTTGGCCCCTTTTTTGGCCCCCAATTCCTAAACGTTTCGGCAATTACCCCCAAACTCAATTCCAGCTTTCCCTTTGTGATATGGAACCTTGTAGTACAATTTCAGAAACATCCATACACTTACACACAAGTTATTGTCATGAAACTAGAAAAATGCTTGTTTTTTGCCCCTTTTTTGGCCCCTAATTCCTAAAATTTTGAGACAATTACCCCCAAAATCAATCCCAGCATTCCTTTTGTGATATGGAACCTTGTGGTACAATGTCAGAGATATCCATACATTAACACACAAGTTATGTCTGGAAGTTACAAAAATGCTTATTTTTGGCCCCTTTTTGGCCCCTAATTCCTTTACTGTTGGTACCATAACCCCCAAAATCAATCCCAACCTTCCTTTTGTGGTATTGAACCTTGTGGTAAAATTTCATAGAGATCCATTCACTTAAACTAAAGTTAGAGTGCGAAAACCAATGTGTCTTCGGACGACGACAACGACGACGACGACGACGCCAACGTCATACCAATATACGACCACAATAATTTTTTTGCGGTCGTATAAAAATCTAAATACATGTTTAGATTCAGCATATCAAAGAATCCTAAGATTTCAATTTTTGTTAAAATCAAACTAAGTTTAATTTTGGACCCTTTGGACCTTAATGTAGACCAATTTGAAAACAGAACCAAAAATTAAGAATCTAAATACACGGTTAGATTCGGCATATCAAAGAACCCCAATAATTCAATTTCTGATGAAATCAAACAAAGTTTAATTTTGGACCCTTTGGACCTCAATGTGGACCAATTTAAAAACGGGGCCCAAAATCAAAAAACTTAATACACGGTTAGAATCAGCATATTAAAGAACCCCAAGAATTCAAGAATAAAACCCCATTGAAATTGGTCAAGAAATAAGCAATTTATACGAAGAATCTTCTTTTGTACAATACTGTGCAATTGAATATTTCTTGCTATTGCGCAATACTGTACAATTGACAATTTCTTGCTATTGCGCAATATTGTGCTACTGGATATTTCTTGCTATTGCACAATACTGTGCAATTGAAGATTTCTTGCTATTGCGCAATACTGTGCAATTGAAGATTTCTTGCTATTGTGCAATACTGTGCAATTGAAAATTTCTTGCTATTGCACAATACTTATTTTATAATAATTTACACATCCTGTTTGGTGTGTATCTCCTACCATATGGTTATTATTTGCTTTTAAATATAAAACAGAAATAACCAACTTAAAATGGAAAATTTTAAAAGAAAAAAAAAAGGAAAAAAAAAAAAATCCCCCCCCCCAAATTTTTTGAACCCCCTTATGATTCATCACCCCCAAACTCAATCCCAGCTTTCCCTTTGTGGTATGGTACCTTGCAGTACAATTTCAGAGAGATCCATACACTTGAACACAAGTTATTGTCTGGAAACTAGAAAAATGCTTATTTTTGGCCCCTTTTTGGCCCCTTATTCCTAAACGTTTACCACAAAAAATTTTTTGCGGTCGTATAAAAATCTAAATACATGTTTAGATTCAGCATAACAAAGAATCCTAAGAATTCAATTTTTGTTAAAATCAAACTAAGTTTAATTTTGGACCCTTTGGACCTTAATGTAGACCAATTTGAAAACAGAACCAAAAATTAAGAATCTAAATACACGGTTAGATTCGGCATATCAAAGAACCCCAATAATTCAATTTTTGATGAAATCAAACAAAGTTTAATTTTGGACCCTTTGGACCTCAATGTGGACCAATTTAAAAACGGGGCCCAAAATCCAAAAACTTAATACACGGGTAGAATCAGCATATTAAAGAACCCCAAGAATTCAAGAATAAAACCCCATTGAAATTGGTCAAGAAATAAGCAATTTATACAAAGTATCTTCTTTTGTACAATAC